GTTTAGCTGTGTTCTGCCGTCCTGAGCTGCAGCTCTTTGCCATGTGCCACTCTGCCTTATAATCTGCCAAGTACGGACTGAAACTTCCACAAACTGTAAGCGAAATAAACCTTTCCTTCCTTAATTTTGGCTGTCAGGTATTTTGTCCCAGAAGTGAGAAAAAAGTAACCAAGACTTACATACTTACAAAAACAGCACCATATGCCTGCCTGGTAAGCACAAGGTGGTGAGTTCGGTTCCCGGTACCAGAGAAAAACCAAAAAAAAAAGAAAAAAAAAAAAACAGCACCATAATGATACAAAAACAGACACACAAACAAATGAAACAGAATAGAGGACAGGGAAACAAACCTACACAACAGTCATCTGACTCCAGTCAAGAGGGCACATATATATATGGAACAGTCCTTTCAACAAATAATGCTGGGAAAATTGGATATCTATATGCAGGAGACTGAAACTAGATCCTTAACGCTATCCTATAGAAAAATCAATTCAAAATGGGTCAAAGACTTAGATATAAATTGCCAGGCATGGTGGTGCATGCCTGTAATGCCAGCACTCAGGAGGCAGGAGGATTGCTGTGGAGTTCGAGGCCAGCCTGGGCTACAAGGTGAGTTCAAGGCCAGCCTGAACAGCATAATGAGACCCTGTCTCAAAAAGACAAAAAACAAAACAAAACAAAACAAACAGACTCAGATATAAGACCTGAAACTTTGAAAATGATAGAAAAAAATAGCCAGGCATGGTAGCACACGGAGGCTGAGGCAGGAGGATCATTGCAAGTTTGAGACCAGCCTAGGATACAAAGTGAGCTCAAGGCTGGCCTGAACTGCATATGAGATCCTGTCTCAAAAAGACAAAAAAACAAACAAACAAAAATCCAAGGTGGAGACACTTTAAGTGATAGGCACAAAGACTTCCTAAATAAGATTCATAGCACCAGAAATAATAATAAAAATCAACAAATGGGAGTACATCACATTAAAAGGCTTCCACACAGCAAAGAAAATAAAAAAACGGACAGATGAGACAGCCTATAGAATGAAAGAAAATTTTTTCCAGATACTCTTCTGACAGAGGATTAATATCCAGAGTATACAAAGAATCCAAAAAATAGCTCAATCAATAAATGGGCAAGTGAATAAAATAGTCAGTTCTCAAAAGAAGAAGCACAAAATGGCCCATAAATATATGAAAAAATGTTTAATATCTTTAATCATTAGGGAAATGCAAATCAAAACTATACTGAGATTCCACCTCCCCTCAGTCAGAATGACTATCATCAAAATACAAAAAGTAAATGCTGGTGAGAATGGAAGGGAGAGAGGGAGGAGTCCTCTCTCTGCTGGTAGGAATACAAATTAGTGCACCCCTATGGAAATTAGTAGCTACCTAAAACAACTAAAAATAAAACTACCCATCTATACCTCTCCTCACATATACACAAAGAAATTAAACCTAATATATAGGGATACTTGCTTACCTATGCTTCTTGTGGTATAATTCACAATAGCCAACATACAGAACCAACCCAACTACTCATTAACTGAATGAGATAGATAAATAAATATATACATATATATATGAAAAAGTATTATATAGCCACAAAGGAGGACAAAATTATGTCATTTTCAGGAAAATGAATGAAATGGAAATCATCATATTAAATGAAATAAACCAGACTCAGAAAGACAAGTATCACATTTTTCCTAATATGAGACATCTCAAAAATAAAAAGACTTTTTTTTAAGAGTACAGGGGATTGAATCCAGGACCTTGCACTGAGTTATATCCCTAACACTGCTTTAATTT